GCTCTGGCGCGGTGTTGCTGGGTTCACCGCCATCAGTCTGCACTGCCCCTGCGAAAGGGCCTTCAGACGGAGACACGGTCATCTGCTTGTCTGCCAACCCATGGTCCTGACTGCTCCTTAATGGCTCTGGAGGACTGTTCTGAGTTCCTGTAGCTTCCTGTCGTCTCATCTCAGACTGAGCTCTGTCACACGATGGAAGAGGAGCGTTTATCTGGACAGGACTGGGGTCTGTGGATCCCTTCTGGAGGTGCTCTTGGTCAGGTGGTTGAAGAGGGGACGGCTGGCTTACATGCTCTGGTGATGCATCCGTTTCCAGTTGCAGATCAATGTCCATGCCCTCCTCCTCAGCAAGGGAGGAACTGGCACCGTCCTTGTCTGCTGTCAACAGGCTGCTGTTGCTGTCTTTGCCCCTGCAGGCCTCCACTGCAGCCCCACAATGGTGAGAAGCGCTGGTTTGCTTGTGCCTGCTTGCCGTCGCTCTGTTCTCGGGCTGCCCTACTCCACATGCAGTGGGTCTGGCTGCCAGGAGGAGCTCACCGTTTCCGTGTGGAGAACTGGAGGCCAGTAACACCCGCGACACACACGGGAGGGGATGAGCCGTTTTTCTGCTCTTCTTGCTTCTGGGGCCAGAGTCGCTCTTTGTCTTGGGTGTTCTAGGTGTGGGCACCATGACAGACACTGAATCTTTACAACCAGCCCCTAAAAAAGAGAATGAAAACAAAGATGGTGATTTACAGAAGAAAGGTTCTGCCTGAAGGGCACGGTGAAGGGCTTTCAGTGATTTGAAGATTGGACCTACCCTGATCTCCAGGTTCAGAGAGGCTTTCACTGGGCTCAGACTCTTGGGCCTCTGCTGGAGCTGCACTCTGGTCTACGCTAATGGGACCCGCACCTCCTTGGACGCCAGGTTCACTGCTCCTGTTTTTCCCTGCAGTCAGAGAAAAAAAAACGTAATTAACTGGAGTTTTTAATTCAATGGTAGAACAGCACACTAAGCAACAGAGCACAACTTTTGTGATTAATTTTAAAAAGTCGACTTTTTGGGACTGTTAACAGATTTTAAAAAAATACACACTTTTTTTGAGCATCATTCAGTGCAAATGATCACCGAAGCACGACACCAGTCCTCCACTCAGCCTTACTACCCCCGTACCGTAATCAAACAGGTCGAACAGAGCCTGGAAGGCTGGGTCGGACTCAGTCTGCTCCAGAATGTCACGGATGGCCTCGTCTGTCATGTGGATCTCCGCCTGCATAAACACAAGAGCAATATGAAGGCAGCACGTGCAGCAGAGATCAGGGCCCTGGATTTGTAATTGCGGGGCTGTGGGTACAAGCCTCTTGGGCCAGGAGTCTCCCCCAGATTGCTCTAGCTAAATACACAGGTCTCGCCTGATGCACAAATGCTAGCTGCGTTGGATAAACAAGTCAGCAGAATTAATAGTAACACATAGGAACAAGTGGAAGTTCCACACCCAAAAAATAAAAAGATAAGCATTTTCTTTAGTGAGGAATTAAGGCCCATTTTGTCCTGTGTGACTCATGTGCTGATGCAGCTCCTGGATCTAAATTCTCCAAATAATCTGTTCACTTTGGCACTTCTGGACAAGAAAGATGGAAGCATAAAACAACAAATATGTGTAACCTGCTGTGAAGCATCCACTCTAATATATTTTAAAAATGATGTATGCTCATATGTTATGTTTCTAAAATCCAATAAAAATTACCTGGAGACCTAATATTTCATCGATTGAAGGATCTTGCACCACAGCGCCACTTGCACCTTGTTTAGAAGTCTGAGGATTGTTTTCACTGTCAACAAACACCAAAAAAAAATAAAAAATCAGAGCCAGATCCCTTTGTGCCCCAACTGCTCTGCAGTCACCAAATGCATCACATGAATCAGATGTGGGAAGCTTGCCGGAGAACACCAGCAGCTTATCCTGAACTATTACAGCAGCACCAGGAAGAGGAGGAGCACAGAAAGGCTATCCACACTAAGCAAAATCTGCACAGACACTGGGGACAGTCTGTATCTTCAATGCCTTATGCTTTAAAACACTTTCCTAGATTGACCACCAGGTGGCACTGCTGTACCTACGAGGTTCAAGGTGCACTTGATGCACACACCTGCCATAGCCCGACACCAACAGGACAGACTTCATGCTCTGGTGAAGAGGGTGACCATGGTGTGTATACAGAAGAGTTTGTACACTTACAGTGCAATTATCAGGGGTCACCTGGTTGTGGGCAGGATGCTGTTATTTTGTAAAACTTTTGGTTTGGGATTCTGCAAAAGGATATGGACTTCAGAGTCAATCTCCCATCGAAAAGACTGCTTAAACTTTTCAATAAAGATTACTGGCTAAAATAAAGCTCTGTCAGTTTTGGTCCTTGTTTAGACTCCTACCCATGTTTCCAGCCATGTAGGATTACAGACTTTTAACTAGCTGACCATTAATGTAAAATGCCATTCAATTTCATCTTACCTTCCCAAGAACTTATTAATGTTTTCTGCAAGTTTCTCTTGCAGGGACTTGTCACTAAGTATCTTGTCCCTGGCGTTCTCTATAACCATTTGCTGTAAGAAACAAGGATGGAATAAATCATTAGAACAGAAGAGAAACAGATGCTAGAGATCCGCCTGGCTTTGAGAATCCGATTCCGATGTGGAAGGAGGTGGGACTCACGGGAAAGCTCTCCGAGACGGGCTCCTGCTCTCCTTCGTTTTGGAATTCCTCAGTCTCCACAATGACAGTAGATATCTGGGGGGTCCTTGGTGCTCCGCCCTGTCCAGCCAGCAGCCCACCTCTCCTCCTGGGGGAGTCACTGAAACACCGCACAGCACAGGATGATCAGGCCTTCCTGTATCCTTTCCACACAGCTCATACACTAACAGCACGCAGGCTGCCAGGCACGGAGAGACCACTACGCCTGGGCCAGCTGCCACCTCAGCCTGAGCTGCAGATTCCGCGCTTGTCTAGCAGGAACAAGCAGACAAACACAGGGAGAGAGACACAGACATGGCTCTCAGCAGACATGTATTCTTTGCATGCAACACTGCAGAGTTTTCCAGCTGGAAGGATTCAGAAATGACACAGGTGCTGAAGCAACACAAACCAGCAAAGCAGAGAATCCTCTGGGAAAAAACGTTGACTTTAGGAAGGCCACACCTTCTCAGCGGTCTCCTCACCATTTCCTGCGGCCCGGAGACAACTGTCCTGGGCTAAATCTGCGATCTGGAACAACAACCTGCAGAGGGGAATCTCCTACAGGAAACAAAACAAAAGGGGCTCTTAAGGAACCAGTAATCTGCAGTCCTCAGGCAGCCTTTCCATACA